GTAATGAAGTGTGCTACCATCTATTTTTTCATCCATCCATCCGTCTGTCTATCCATCTGTCCGTCTATCATACTTTCTTTTTCCATCCATCCATTTTTCATTCTATCGTTCCATCCATCCATCCATCTATGCATTCTTCTATCATTCCATCTGTCCATAGATCCATCCATCATTCGTTCGATCATTTCATTCGCCCATCCATTCATCCATTCATCTATCTATCAATCCGTCCATTCATCCATCCATCCATCATTCATTCTATCCTTCCATCCATCCATCGTCTATTGTTTTATCATTCCATCCATCCATTGATCCATCCATCCAATGTTCATTCTCTAGTTCCATTCATCCATCCATTTATCCATCCTTTGTTATAACAGCTATCATTCCATCTACTGCATTATCAAATCTGACCCTCGATCCACCAAAACCCTCTGTTAGCTTAGATAATTTAGAAGTTTCATCTGGTCTTGTTGAGATATATAGTTGAGTATCATCAGCATAACAGTGGAAACTAATCCTGTATTTTCTAATAATATTACCAAGTGGCAACATGTATATCGCAAATAGCAGAGGACCTAGGACAGATCCTTGTGGCACTCAATATTTTACTGGTGACAATTGAGATGACTCCCCATTTAAATGAACAAAATGGTAGCGATCGGACAGGTAGGATCTAAACCATCTTAAAGCCTGACCTTGAATACCTGTATAGTTTTGTAATAGATCTATGAGTATGTCATGATCTATAGTGTCGAACGCAGCACTAAGATCAAGTAAAACTAGCAATGAGACACAGCCTTGGTCTGACGCAAGAAGCAAGTCATTTGTAATTTGAACAAGTGCAGTTTCTGTGCTATGGTGGGGCCTAAAACCTGACTGAAATTCTTCATAGAGATCATTGTTTTGCAGGAAGGAGCATAGTTGAGCAGACACAACTTGTATTGTAAAAGCGAAAATTTCATTTCATTTTAATCTACTTCATTAAACTCAAGCTGCAGTTCTGCATCCTCTTTTCGACCTCAATACAAATACAGTTTAAACTCAGGATTTTAAAAGTCATTCTTGATTCAATTCTGAATGATGCACAGCCGTACTCCGGAACTTTTAGTGAGTTTCAACAAATAGAAAGGGCCAGATATGGACTGCTGTAGAGAGAGAGAGAGAGAGATTTTCATCTTATGTTCTGCTTGTGTTCACATCTTTAGATCCGACTGATGATGAAGATATGTAGAGTGATCGATCCTGAACGGTTTGTTTCTATGAAGCCAGAGGAAGCATATGTCTGTATCTCAGGGCTGATTATGTATTGTATCGTTCTATAAACAGTTCCTCCGCAGTGAAGCTTGAACTCTAGCCAGGACGGTTCCTGCAGGATTGTGCTGTGCTCAAACTCCCTCGTCGCAGGAGGGAGAGATCAGCAGCTGCTTCACTCAGACCTTCAGTGTTTGTGCTGTAATGGGTTTGTTACTCTGTGGAGTGAAATCATTAAACAGTCTTGCTACTTGTGCATGTAAAAATCTACACCTTAATCGCAAACCGTCTGCATTTCCACTTAATCTGTGTCATGCATTTTAAATTCCTCATTTCTATGTAAATCAGAGTTACATGGATTGTGCCTTATTTACTAAAGACGGCTGTGTGTGTTTGATTTGTGCTGTTCCAGCGGTTAGGGGTAATTTCAATTAACATATTTTTTATAGTTTTACTTAACAATAACAATATTAATCATGATATTTACAAGTGTGACTAATACAACCCC